TACTCTAGTACATTCAAAACTTGGGTCTAATTTGCTTCATAAGTAGCTCAAGCACCATAAAAGAGAGAGAAAAATAAAACTCTAATTACTCACTAATCAACCATTAAAACTTCAAAAAAAGTGTGGAATAGCATTTTGTTACCTTCTACAACATCTCCACCAAAGGATTTGAGACCAAAACCTTCTCCCCTTAGTAGAGCAATTTTTGGGAGGTGCCCAAAGCCTCCCCACCTTTCTTTCACGTGTTTGAGTGAGTGACCCGAGGAGCAAGAAAGTGCTGTAGTTTTTTTATATGTGGGTCATTTGTAGGGCGGTTGGTGATTAAGCCGCCCTACAAATCGAAAATATTATCTGTGCTGGGCATTTGTAGGGCGGCTCAATCACCACCATCCTTACAAATAGCAACACCAGGGGCGTCTGGTGAGTGACCAATTTGTAGGCGGCTCAGATCACCACCCGCCCTGTTGTTCCATTTGTAGGGCGGCTAGTCTCAGGCTCCCGAGCACGCCATCAGAGAGAGGCGGCTCCATCACTAGCCATCCCTACAAAAAAATTTGTCCCGTTACTACAGACCGTTTTCATGTAGTGATTTAGAAGTCATACCATTGTTAAAAGATGTCTTGAAAATTAGACCTAAGGGAGTAGTACCTAATTTGATCTTATGTGACTAGATGGAGCTCCAACCAGTCGAGCAAGTCCAACTCCAACCAAGTCTAGTGCATGCAACTTCAATTAACTCTGGTGGATGCAATTTCATTAGCTCCAGCCAACTCCTACTACTATGAAAACGATAATGATAGGACGTGAGCGTCCGTCCCATCCGGGTGCCGTGCGCCTGGGCCTGCGGCCGAATAGAGCGATGGTCATGCCAAAAAAAGAAAGGCCGCATTGATTCCTCTGACCCTTCCCATTTCCACAACGCTGCTCCCAATCCGCCACCGCGTGAGTGTGCGTGCGTGTTGTGAGCGTCTGCATTAAACTGTGTAACTCTAAAAAAACGGAAACTTTGGTACCCGCCTTAACAATGACGATTGGCCAAAGGAAAAACAATGTGCTAGCTCCATTGCCAAGAAGGAAATTTGTTGAACCATCTAGTATGTGGCATCGACCATCTGGTCTCGTCGAAGAGGAAATCTTTTAGTTGTCGAAGAGAAAATCTTTTAGAGGTTGTAATTCTCTTGTACGGACTCAAATTAGATATTCACATATATAGTTTGATTGTCTCGACGAGAACTACACAACAATGGTATAGTCCAATGACTAATTTGAAGCTTCCAAAACCGGACTACCTAAGTATGCAACACCGGACCATCCGGTATTTGCAAATTTACATACAACTGTGAATCTTAGTTTCGAACACACACTATCTTGATATAATAACTTACGTAAATATGTATTCTTAGAACACAAGGAGTTTGGGAATTAAGTTTGAGAATTGGAATACACTTAATGGCCACAAGTCAGCTAACGTCCAGTGTTGGTACCATACCACGCATATAGCACTAGTGCTCCCATGGCCAAGAACTTCGTTGTAAGCAATGTATCAGTTGAGAACTTCGTTAACCTTGAAATCTTGTGGCCCTATTTTTCCCAAGGACTTCATAGCGGTAGGAGCTGTGTGCCTGCATTCATAGAGATGAGTATATGTGGGTGCATATAAGTGTTTACATATGTATTGTGTTTCAAATCATGTTTCTATAAGTATACATTGGATATCTTGCTCAAGCAACTTTTTATTTTTATAATTATTTTTGTGAAATACGTCCATAATCACTTTGAGTACGTGCAAACGTTGAAAACCTACTATTGAGTGGTAGGCCACGTATCTATCAACAGTACCTCTATGCTCACAATTAGGGTTACGACACAGCTACCAGACGAGCTTTCAGGATGAATCTGAGGAGCTCTGCCAAAAGTTTTCCTAGTGAGAAGTAATTCTATATTGGACTGTAAAGTGATTGTCAAAATGAACTAGAGGGTGGGAGCTGAAATAAAGTACCGTCTCCTGATTCACTCTACCCACAGTCACTACATGCATAAAGTTTATCCTAGAGAACCATGGAGAAACATTTTCAGTCAGATAATCAGCTTCTACGGAGAATCTAAAGTACTGAAGGAGCTCTACCAAACAAGCCTTAGTGTGTATGCAAGCAGGTATTCATAGGAGTAAGTGTAACGGCCACGTATATAAGCATATATATTATATTTGTTAAAAAAATATTGTCATTTTTTAGTAAATGAGATTAGCCAATCAGTAGGTAGGGAAACAATTTATGCATGATAAAAATCTAAGGTTGATATTACTGAAGTAGTGACCACATGAAAAATATTTTGCCGCTGTTTAACCTTTTTTCTTTTAAATATCATGATACTCATTAATATACTAGTATTACACTACCATTCGAGTAAAACTACTTAACATATATCATCAGTTTATTATATGTAAAAGAATGTGAATATCAATATTCACAACTCTTTGGATATAAAGTAGGATCCTATCCCTTTCCATATCTGGGAATACCTTTGCATTTTAGAAAATTAAATAACAAAGACTGGAGGATCATTGAAGAAAGAATTGAGAAAATACTCTGCAGTTGGAAGAGCAAGTTTCTATCAGTAGGTGGCAGGCTTGTGCTAATCAATTCTGTGCTATCTAGTTTACCGATGTATATATTCTCTTTCTTGAGGTACCTCGAGGGTTCTCAAGAAAATAAAATATTATAGATCAAGGTTTTTCTGGCAAAATGATGAGCACAACAAAAAATATAGACTTATAAAATGGGGTTTAGCATGCCAACCTAGGGAATAAGGAGGTTTGGGAATTCAAGATCTAGATTTACAGAATAAGTGCTTTCTAAGTAAATGGTTATACAAACTTTGTAATGAAGATGGAATGTGGCAGAAATTATTACGAAATAAGTACCTAAAAAAATAAAAACACTTTCCTAAGTTAGTAAGAAAGCTGGCGATTTTCATTTTGAATGGGCTTAATGGCAATGAAAGATCAATTTTGAATTTGGTGAGGTTCAAGTTAAGAGATGGTTCACAAATTCGGTTCTGGGAGGATACTTGGTTAGGGAACCAACCCTTAAGTTACAGATTTCCAAACTTATACAACATAGTTCGCAAAAAAAAACATGCAACAGTAGCGCAGTATTCAACACTACTCCCTTAATGTCTCTTTTAGAAGGGCATTAATTGGAAATAAATTGCTGGAATGGAATAATCGGATTGCAACTATTGCGAATGTAAACCGCAGAGGAAGGATACTATCACATGGACCTTAAGTACAAGTGGTAATTTTACGGTTAGGTGGATGTATAGATACCTGATCACTAATGACATCAAAGTAACACAAGAAATTTGACGTGTCCACTTAAAATCAAGATTTTCTTTGGTTCCTCAAAAAGAGCGTAATACTAACTAAAGACAACCTAGCTAAAAAGAAATTGGCAAGGAAACAAATATTGCTGCTTCTACAGTAATTTTGAGACTATTCAACATATGTTTTTGAGTGTAATTATGCTAAATTTCTTGGACGTGCGTTGCATACGGTGTTTGGCATTACCCCACCACATACTGTAGCAACCTTTTTGGGAATTGGTATAAGCAGTGTGGAAAAGATTCAAGCTTGTTATTATTAGCAGGGGCAGCTGCCTTCTGTTGGTCCTTGTTGCTCACTAGAAATGATAGTGTTTTTTATAAGTGCAGTCCTAAAATATTTTTGCAGGACTTATTCAGGGGAACATATTGGTTCTAGTTTTGGGGTCAGTTGCAGCGAAGTGAAGAAAATAAAGAATGTATCTACAAAGCTTGTCAAACCCTGGAGACATCGTCTTTGGCATTTTTTTTCCTCTTAAGGATGGCCCATTATGTCTAGGATTGTGAAATGATTTTTTGTCTTTTTTTGTGAGTCTTCTTTAAACGTTAGTGTGAGAACTTTTTGTAATAATTTGGTCTGATTCCTCACCTTTGAGTGAGGATGAAGCCGGATGTTTATTCCATTGTCTAAAAATAACAGTTTATTATACGTTCTTACTGTAGTTAAACATATACCGTACTTAACCTTGAGGTCATGAAACATGCATGTCAGCGCGCACATGTGAACGCATATTGCTATTCAATCATGCCTACTTGCATGACGTTGGTCCCATGCTTGAAACCTGAGGCCATGAATTGCTGCATCGGAAAATATCTCCCAACTTCATAACACTAACAATTTTATATGTGGCTGACGTTTGTCGACAATGCTGATGCCGCCGTAGAGAAGTTAATATTAAAGCCAGTGCCTATCTTCTTAATTTCTTCTGATTGATGCTTCTGAACACCCAGAACATCCACCAAGGTCAAGGCCAAAGGTAAGGAACGTCGCCATGTGTGGATACAATTTGAAGTGCATTAATTTTTTCTTATGAGAGTTGACATTTATATATACCTAATGCCAATTGCAGAAATTTAAAATCGAAATATCATTCATTCCCTTAAGTTGAGAATATTGTCATTAAAATACCTTTTTTTATAGATACGAATGACAAAATTAGTGGAGAAAATGCATCTTGAAACCATGGAAAACTGATTTGATCCAAGTGACTCTACAAAGTTGTATCCCACCGGCACATGAATCAGCTGGATAATAATCTGTCATTTACTCAACTAATGGGTCAATGATCCTTGAATTCCATATCCTCAGCAGAGAGCAGAAAATGTACTTGAATTTTCACCCGCAGATAGGAATAAGGCGCAAACCACTGAACCAGCGCCTTCCGTCCTCAGATGTATCATCTAGAGTCCATTTTGAAGGCACATCGATCCAGGAATCAGTAATCAGTACGCTTCGCGTGAAATTTGTGGCCTAGATTTTTGAATACTTTGTAGAATTTACAGTCTCGTTTGTTTAATGTTTGAAAGCAGAGAAGCCTGCAGGGAGTTTTGAACACTTTGTAAAATTTACAGTGTCGTTTGTTAATTAAATGTGTTCCAAAGCACAGAAAGCCTGCAGCTTAACCATCCACGCCTTCCGCCAGTTCGCACACGACGTGGAACACGGCCCTCACCGGGCGGTGATCGGAGAGCCGGTAGCCACCGCAGCGCTCGTACCGGACCTGCTTCATCCCCTTCCCGCGCCACAGGATCCGGTCGCACCTGCAAACAATTAAAAAACAGCAGCAACGAACACCGTGAGAACAAAACCATCTCGATCGCCTGCATGGATATCTGTGTTGGGAGAGCTGGGCGTCAGAGTCGTCAGACCATGCCGGCGCGCGGTGGCGGTGCTGCTTCTCCGGCCGGCCGGTGGCGACGCCGTCGACAGCGCACCAGTAGAACTGGTCGGAGTTGCGGCGATACTTGTAGGTCGGGGCGAAGGTGACGTGGCCCTCGTGCCAACCGTCGAACTGACGGCCCTTGAGAGCTCCAGCAGCAGCTCGTCGTTCTCCAGCAGCATGCTCCATTTCCTGGCCCGCACCAGCTGCCGTGCCTCGTCGTCGTCGTCCATGGCGATCCGGTAGTTGAGGTCCCCGAACAACACCACGCTGCTGCATGCAAGTACACGATTCGATCATCAACGACTGTTTTCCGTTGCTGCTGCCAGTAGAATGTTCAGAGCTCGATCGGGCGACCTACTCATGGCCAAGAATCTTCTTGGGCAGCTCATCCAGTGCTGCCGGCGCGCCGCCGGAGCGGACGAAGCTGGTCCTGGAGAGGATGCCCGCGGCGTCAGCGTTCCGGCGTATAGCGTCGCCGTCCTCGCCGCCTGAGGCCAGGTGGCAGCAGACGAAGCAGAAGCTCGTGCCGTGAAGCAAGAACCGGACGGACACCGCGCCCTGCGTAGCGCACCGCACGCACGCCGCGTCATCCGCATGCATGCTTCTGGTGTACCGTGCGTCCGTGTGTGCGACTCTGCTTCTATATATCTTACCTTGTTGCCGAGCCGGCCGAGGACGCCGGCGCCGACGCTGGAGACGCCAGGGCGGCGGACGTGCCGGCGGAGGCTGCTCCTTGTCCACACCGACACGAAGATGCCGACCATCTGCTTGCTCATGAGGCACCTGAACAAGCCGCCCTGTCCTCCTTGATCGTGCATTGCTGCAGCTCCATCTCCATGCCTCCTGTTGTTCAATGCGTCATCGATGAGCAGCTGCCACTTCATGGCTGCCCGCCTCTGTTTCGGGCCAAGCACGCTCCTCGCGTTCAGTGGCACCATCTCCTGCAACCTGCATCGTGCAAACGTTGCGACTGATGATTCTTTCTTACTGCACCATCCTGATGAAAGACAACGCTGATAAATTAAGAGATGACAAATCGGTTGGCAAAGTGGAGTACCCAAGAACATAGATGTCGTAGGAGTCGGTCTTGGTGTCCATCCAATCTTCCAAGCTTAGATCATCAGGCGGCACCATGCCGCCAACGTTCCATGTACCAGCAAATATCCTGCAGCGTCATCAGGTCATGGAAAAACTCGTATGCCGATTGCAGTAGTTGAGACGAGCTCGATCGATTCAACGCAAAGAGCTCCACTCCAATGGGCGCTCACCTGTACTTGACGGTCTCGCTCTGTTCCCCATTCTAGTCTTCTCCAAGCCGGAGAGTTCGGAGACGAATTGATGACCCACCAGTACCCTGCTCGCCGCCGATCTTGGCCAGACCATCTGGAACGGTGTTGGGTTCATTCTGTAAGTTCAGTCCAGGTTTAGAGTTTCAGTAGCTAGCGTTTAACATTCTTGGCCAATAAACTGAACCCGATTGGGTGCGTCGTGTAAGCCAGAATCACGCTCGTTCGCGGTGCGGCATGTAGTTGTCGTGTCCTTAGTTTTCGCTGAGTCTAGTTGAAGCCTTGCGCCCCGTTCATTCGGTTGTGGGATGGCGCGACCTTGTAGGTAGGAGTGGCGTGCATAGCGCCGGGTCGAGTGGCCACGAGCTGCTCACAGTTTGTATATATTTTCATCAATAGAGTCAAAAAAACGTCGGTTAGTTGCGGCACCAAATTTTGTGTGTTTTGTGTTCTCAGCTTCCACTGTGTTCGCGTGAGTTTCCACCTCGGGTTCCATCGATCTTGGGTCATCATCCTCGTCTCCGGCGGCGGGTGCCGGCGAGCAGGATACGTCAATTGGTATCAGAGCGAGATTCCGCCGGTGGACACGCGACCGCGCGATCGCTGCTGCTCTCGGTATGGATCAATGGAGGAACCGTTCCTCCTCGCGCCGGCGAGAGGTTCCGGCAGGGGCGGTTCAAGCAACGGCGGCGACGAGCGTAACGCGCGGCTGGTGATTCACCGGACCGTGCATGAGGAGGCGGAAACACAAGTACCCCTCCTCACCAAGTCCAACTACTACTCATGGGCGGCGCTCATGAAACTGAAGCTCGGTAGCGGAGCTTGTGGGAGGCGGTGCAAGTCGGCGCCATTGACTACATCGACGATCGGAACGCCTTTGAGGCCATCGCTCTGGGCGTTCGAGGAGATGCATGGAAGCATCGCCAGGAAGGCCACTGCCAAGGAGGCGTGGGACTCCCTGAAGAAGATGCATCTCGGGGTGGATCGTGTGCGCCAGGCAAAGGCGAACACGCTGCGTCGGGAGTTCGACACGCTGCGCTTCAAGGACGGGGAGTCGGTGGATGACTTCGCCATCCGGATCACCAATGTGGCGAGCCAGCTGGAGGTACTCGATGCTGGGTACACGGAGCCGGAGATCGTGAGGAAGTTCCTGCAGGCCATGCCACCGAGGTATGAGTAGATCGTAATGGCAATCAAGACTCTCCTTGATCTCAATGACCAGTCAGTGGACGAGCTCGTGGGGAGACTCAAGGCAGCCGAGGAACGCTACGGCCTCAGTGGCAATGGCGTTTCCTCTGCGGCGCGGCTCAACCTCACCGAAGAACTTGTGGATCGGGTGGTCTCCCGGCTGCAAATCTCGGGCGGCGGCTCTGGAGGCGGGCGCCCTCCGGCCTCGACCCAGAGGAGAGGACGCGGCGGCGGCTCGTCCCATGGTGGGGCAGCGCCGCCCACCCCGGTGGCGGTGAGAGCAACGGCGGCTCAAACCTTGGCCGGCGGCAACGGCAAGAAGAAGAAGAAACTTCGCCAAATGACGAGTGCGCCTACTACGGCAAGACGGGCCACTTTGGCGCGTGAGTGCCATAAGAAGAAGCGGGATGAGCAGGCGCACGCCACCGAGGCGGAGGCGGAGCAGGCGCTGATGATGGCGACCGTCACGGTCTCCCTCGATCCGGTGTCTCAGGTGGCAGGGCCGGAGGAGCCCGAACGTGTGGAGGACGTGGTGGGCGTCCACATCGCCGATGGGGCCTTGCATGGCGCTACTGGGTCTTCTCCGACGAGGCCGTGGACACGGAGTCCACGACGGCCTACGTGGCGCTGGCGACGCCGTCGCGTTCCGCGGCGGGCGAGGAGGTGCACATCCGGAGGACAAGCTCTTCATCCAGCTTGGGGAGAAGTGCGGCGAAGGGCGCACGCGCTGGATCCTCGACACGGGGGCGACGAACCACATGACCGCCGTCCGGTCGTTCTTCTCCGAACTCAACACGGGTGTGCACGGCACCGTCAGGTTCGTCGACGGGTCCGTGGTCGACATCCACGGCCGCGACACTGTCCTCCTCAGCTGCAGGAACGGTGAGCACCAGAGACTTGGCGGTGTGTACAACATCCCCAAGCTCATGGCCAACATCATCAGTCTCGGGCAACTTGGCGAGGACAAGTACAAGATTCTGATCGAGGAGGGCGTTCTGCGCATCTGGGACCAGCAACGTCGTCTCCTCGCCAAGGTTCCACGGTCGGAGAACCGGCTGTACATCCTCAACATCAACATTAGCTCCCCGGTGTGCCTTGCGGCGTATGCTGACAACGCCGCCTGGAGGTGGCACACGAGGTATGGGCACCTCGGCTTCCATGGCTTGAAGCTACTGTCTAGGAAGGAGATGGTGCGCGGGCTCCCTGTGATCGATCATGTGGAGCAGGTGTGCGAGAGCTGCCTCGTCGGGAAACAACGTCGCCAACCGTTCCCGGCGGCGAGCAAGTTCCGTGCATCTCGATCCCTGGAGCTGGTGCATGCGGACCTGTGCTGTCCGATCACGCCGGCTACCCCGGGTGGGAAGAAGTTGTTCTTGCTTGTTGTTGATGACAAGAGCAGGTACATGTGGCTGGTCCTCTTGGCTTCAAAGGACCAAACAATGAGCGCCATAATCCGATTGTAGGCGTGGTGGAGAAGGAGGTGGCGAAGAAGCTGGGCATCTTCGCGCGCGCGGACCGTGGAGGAGAGTTCATGGCGCGTGTGTTCGAGGAGCATTGTGCGGGTGAAGGCGCAGCGGCGCCACCTCAACTACTGCCCGTACACGCCCAAAAAAACGGCGCGTGGTGGAGAGGCGCAATCAAACTGTCTTTGGGCATGTCGCGCAAGCATGATGAAGGGATGAGCGTTCGGGTTGGCTTTGGGGTGAGGCGGTGTCCACCGCCGTCTTCATCTGAACCGATCACCGACACGGAGTGTGGAAGGAAAGACGCCATCGAGGTCTGGTATGGTTCTAAGCCGGTACATGCACTTCTTTTCGCACTTTCGGTTGTATCGCATATGTGAAGGTCGCCAGCGATCACCAACACAAACTCGACGATCGAAGCACTCCCATGGCGTTCATCGGCTCTGGCGAGGGACAAAGGCCTACCGCTTCTACAACCCGAGCACGGAGCGTGTACACATATCACGGGATGCGGTATTCGATGAAGGGAAGGCATGGAGATGGGAGGATGCGGAGGTGGCTGCATCAGGCGCGGCTCAGGGGGAGCCGTTCACGGTGGAGTACGTGACGCCGCTATGCGCCTGGCAGCGTGAGCAGCGCCACACATACCAGCGCCGTCGCCACCAGCGTCACCGGGACCCTCGACATCGACACAGGGTACTGCTGCTCCTCCCTCAACCCTGGTGCAGGAGCCCGCACCGGCCAACTCTCCAGCACCGGGAACGCCACATGGAGGGGTGGAGTTTGTCTCACCACCTCCGGGGGAGCTTCAGCTGGACGCCGACGCCGACAACGCGCCGCTGAGGTTCAGGTCGCTGGACAATGTCCTCGGCGACGCTGACAACCCAGGGGAGGCGGTCCGAGGGCTGGGCGCCGAGCTGCTGCTGTCGGTTGATGGAGAACCAACGTCGTACGATGAGGCGCGCGGCGAGGAAGAATGGCGGAAGGCCATGCTCGAGGAGCTTTCCTCGATCGAGCAGAACAACACCTGGACATTGGTCAATCTCCCGCAAGGGCACCGGGCAATCGGGCTCAAGTGGGTGTTCAAGATCAAGCGCGATGAACTGGGGGCGATCGTGAAGCACAAGACGCGCTTGGTGGCCAAGGGCTACGTCTAGAAGTTCGGCATCGACTTTGATGAGGTGTTTGCGCCGGTGGAGAGAATGGAGTCGGTGAGGATGCTGCTTGTTGTTGCTGCTCAGGAGGGTTGGCTTGTGCATCATATGGATGTCAAGTCAGCGTTCTTGAATGGGGATCTTGCCGAGGAGGTGTATGTGCAGTAGCCGCCAGGCTTCATCGCGGCTGGACACAGGAACAAGGTGTTGCGCCTGAAGAAGGTGCTGTACGGTCTACGTCAAGCTCCCAGGGCATGGAACCACAAGCTAGACAACAGTCTGCGTGATCTGGGGTTCATGCGCTGTCCGAGTGAACATGGAATGTACACCCGCGGAAAGGGGTCCTCACGGGTGATCGTCGGCGTCTACGTCAATGATTTGATCATTACTGGAGCCAAGGAAGGCGGAGTCGACGCTTTCAAGGCTGAGATGCAGCGGCTGTTCAGGATGAGCGACCTTGGGTTGCTGTCCTACAACCTGGAGATAGAGGTGAGACAGAGCAAGGCTGCAATCACACTTGGGCAGGCTGCATATGCTCGCAGGCTGCTTCAGAGGGCGAACATGGCAGGGTGCAACCCGTGTCATGCTCCGATGGAGGCAAGATTGAAGTTATCCAAGGATGGGACAACAGTGGAGGTTGACGCCACGGAGTATCGCAGCTTGGTGGGAAGCCTGCGCTACTTGGTCCACACTCGCCCGGACATCTCGTTCGCGGTGGGGATGGTGAGCCGTTTTATGGAGAAGCCCAGGCAGGAGCACATGGCTGCAGTGAAACATCTGCTTCGTTACATTGCTGGGACAGTGGAGTTCGGGCTGGTCTACCCCAAGCTTTCAGGCGTCGACAACAGCCTTACTGGCTACAGTGACAGTGATTTGGGGGGAGACAGTGATGACAGGAAGAGCACAACAGGCATCATCTTCTTCCTAGGAACAAAGGCAGTGGCCTGGCAATCTCAGAAACAGAAGGTCGTGGCGCTCTCCTCCTGCGAGGCGGAGTACATCGCTGGTGCTGGTGCAGCGTGCCAGGCGGTGTGGCTTACGAG